AGAATATGAGAAAAAGAAAAACATTAAGGAGAGCAAACAATACAACAACAAGAATTAAGACAGAAGGTAACGATTGACATTGCATTTAAATTTTTTGAAGATCAAAGACAAGTGCGAGAAAAGAAACTGTTAACATAGAACTTACGGTTGCATGTAGCCATTTCAACAGCATTCGTAATTTAGAATTCTCTTCAAATTGTAACACTTTTTGCATTATTTTCATTTAATAGAATCTATTGTCAACATATTACTTCCTAGGAAATCAAGATATATAAGCAATTTCTGGTGTTACTTTGACTTGTTATCTACAAGGAAGAAATATCTACACTGTACAAATTTTATTTTGGAATGTTATCTACATAGTAAAACATTATGATTATTATTATTATTATTATATATATATATATATATATATATATATATATATATATATATAAAACAAAGAAAATGTAATTAAAAGGGAAGTTACATTTTGGCAGTGGGAAAGTGAGAGAAGCTGAGATGTCAAGTTAGGACCAATAATATTGCAGATGATTCTTTGGATTTTATCAAGAATCTCTCAATCTCAGATGAATTAGTGAAAAAAAAATGAAGTTGATATTAAGAATGCTAACATATACACACAATTTATATGTTTTGTTGATTTAGTTTGGCTTGTTTAATGGCACATCAATGCCTTTAGCTCATCTCAGTGCTAAGTCCTTTATTTAGTATACTTGTGATTTGTAACAAAATTTGTAGTTAAATTCTTTAGAGATGAGTTTTTTGGTTAAAGAGCTCCTAAAGTTTTTTTTTTGTTTTTTTTTGTTTCTTTGGGAGATTGTACAAGATTACATCTTTTTGTAAAGCCTCACACCTGTTCTATATTCTGAAAAGCTTGTTCATCACTTACTTTTTTTTATAGTATTTTTCTCTGGATATGGTTAAAATCAATACAGTCTATAAGTATGTGCTTGATGGTATATGATTCTCAGGATGCTGTACATATTTGTTCCTTGTTTTTTTAAAGAGAAAAGAATATGTTCTAGGTGACTGTGACTAATGCAAAGTCTAGCTAGGACTATCACTTCTATTCTTATCATTCTATATCCTAGAGGCCATCCTCCAAGAGTGGGTTGCATTTTGGGGAGTTTCTTTTACACACACTTGTTCCATGATTCTTGCCATTTGTTGGTGATGGATCTGCATCTAGTTTCTTCCAAGTCTGTGTCATGGATTTTAATGCCAGATGTGTAGGACTTTTCTGGTTCCTTTATCTTTTACCCTTGGTTGTATCACTGCATTAGGTAAGCTAAGATGTTTGTCCCTTTGTTAAATGTTATTAAGTGCATTTAGTTTTAGCAAACATCATTCAACAAGTTGATTGTCATTGTACTAAGGCAGCTGTCATATCTGTAGACATTTTTTAAATAAAATCAGAATATTTTCTATCTGAATTTTTAGTATGAGGAGTTATCAGTATTGTTCTGCTGTCCATGTCTAACAACATAGATGAGGATAACAGTCTGAATGTAAAAGAATGATAACGTCTCATCCCAGAAACTTAGACAGAAAGTAACAGATTTTTTGTTTATCTATTTAAACATTCAAAATGGAAAAAAATAAGTGTTGTGGTGTCCTCCCTCTAAAGAGTCTATGTTCGATTCTTCCGCCTAATATAAGATTAGTAGGAGAGAAGGCCTTGGGGGAACAGTTGAATAGATTGAATGCTGGGACAAGCGACACACTCACTAGTGTAATACTCTTCTGTTGTACTTACTGTTTAATATATGATATATCTGCAACACTTGTTTTGTTATTTCTTTAACCATTTACTTGGTCACAACAATAAGCAACATTTTCTTTATCTTACAAAAGGTAAAAAATGCTACTCAAATGATAAAAAACCAAAAAAAAGATTTTATGGAGAAGGTACTATGAATGATAGTACATCAAAAGTGGTTTGTGAATGTCTGTGCTGACGATTTCTTACTGAAAAGTTTGGTAGACCAGTTAAGGATGAATGTGACCAGTTGACAATTTTATCTGAGAATAATTAACATTATATAATGAAGGAGATAGCTAAGATCAAGATCTGAAAATCATTTGTATCACTGTGGTTATGATAGTCACTTTAATGTGCGGCTTCCACATAAGCAGAGGAAAAAAATACTGGAACAAATTTACATGTCTAGTTTGTTATTTAAGAGTAATAAAAAGTTTTTGTTATTGAAATCAACTGTTATGTGTGATGAACAGTGTGTACTTTACAACAACATGGAATCTAAGAAATTATGAAGCAAAAGAAATGAACTTGAATGACTCATACAAAAATCTAAACTTCATCCAAAGGTAATACTTTATATGTGGTGAGATTGGATAGGAGCAGAGCCTGAAATTAATATCATCCAGTGATGATAAAACATTAGTTAGGGATGACTGGTTAGGTCTTTTCAGGATGATGCCTGGATAACGCAAATTTTTTTAATTAAAATTGTATCATATTTATTCTAAAAGCAAGAAAGAGAAAATAAATTACTTTTCATTAGAAGCTGTGTGCTTTTAATAAATGGAGCATGCACACTCACACACGCAACAAGATTAAAAACTCAAGTGCTTCTGGTAAATGAAAAATAAAGTTTTAAAAACTTACAATTAGATATTTTGATTATTTCCCTTTAAATGTGGAAAAAACAATATATATATATATATATATATATAAATTCCCAAGAGGATAGAATCCAGGCAAAACTCAATATCCAGGACAGAGTAAGAATATAATATAAAAGGCTCAAACACTAATATTCCATGGTAATAATTTATTACATTTGAATCATAATCACGATTCAATTCATCTTTTTGAATTTGTAGGTCTGATGAATTGGATCGTGATTATGATTCCAATGTAATAAATTATTACCATGGAATATTGGTGTTTGAGCATTTTTATATATATATATATATATATATATATACATACACACACAAACACACACACACAGAGTGCCCCCATCCACAAAAAAATTTACTCATTTTTTGATTTCCTATAACTTCTTGAATATTTATCTTAATTTAAACTGTTAATCTTCTTTGTTAGTCAATAAACTTGTAATACTTCTTTTAAATTTTTAAATTTTAACCATTAATCTTGTTTGCAAGTCAATAAACACAGCTTTTATTGTCATTTAAAGAGGGAGCACATTTTTTGGGGTTACCGTGTGTGTGTGTGTGTGTGTGTGTATCTATAATTCTCATAATGTGTATGTATCCGTGTGTGTGTATGTATGATCGGATGCTATTTATGCATTTCCAGAGTTTTCATCCAATTTTGATGAAATTTTTTTGTTTGATAGATAATTCTTCAGTACTGGTTTTGAGTCCAAATTGTTGGTGACAATGGCTCTCCACTACTTCCTGTCCATTATAATTCTCAGCAACGTTTTACTATTTACTATCTGTTCTTGGATATATATCTTTAAAAAAACTTTAATAAAATAAATAGTTTAAATTATTACAATATATTATTTATTATTATACAGTTCCCTTTACAGGGCAATGATTCAAATTGTTAAGACCCCCCCCCCCATTTGGGGATGTGCCTCAGTTGCACCCAAATGTTGTTACTAATATTGATGTTTGGGTGGGCGAACTTAAACTGCTCCAATTGAACCGCAAAAGTTCCCAGTAATGAAAGACCTGGTAGAAGATGGGTTATACTGCTAGTATATATATTTTCTTTATTTTAGGATATTACATCAAAAACATGTAAAAAAAAAAAAAAAAAAAAAAAATAACGCTACACAATTGCTGTCGTGTATTGATGTGAATCAAACACATCTCATCTGGCGTTAGTAAACCTTAACCTTTACTAACGCCTGATGTGATGCGTTGATTCACATTGATACATGACTGCAATTGTGTAGCATTTTTTTTTTTACATGTTTTCAGTGTAATTTTCTAAAATAAAGAATATTGCTTTACTACTTTGTATTGAACCCTCTTTTAAATTAAATATTATGAACATTGGAATTGTTCTCATTTTACATGGATGTGTGTGTGCATGTATGCACACATTGTCTGCATGAAGCAAGAATTAATTTTACTTTAATAAACAAAGCAAGAAAATTTTACTTCTTTTGCCAAATTTTTGCTTGCAAACCCTAAATAAATCATTAGCAAAAAACATTTGTGGGTTATTTTTATTTGTTTTTTTTTTGCTTATCCTAAACTAAATTGAAAATAAAAGAGAATTTTTAAAAAATGATAAACATGAATAATTTAGTCACAATACAAAGCAGGTAATTACAAATAAAAAATCTTTTGATAAAATCTTTTTTATTTTTATTATGAATAGCTGCAATGCATTAATATTCTTTATATTGTTATAACTCACTCCTAGCGGTTATCATATATCTTGCTTTGGCTACTCGCTGTGATGGGATTAGAATTCTTCCTGATTGGCTCAAAGACTTTTTTTTTATTCACTTTGAGTTCTTTATTTAAGGCTTCTTGCCTAGTTCATTTGTGTTACTGGGGATGTCTTATTTACTCCACAACAATAAAGAAAATGAATGCATTTGACACAATTCTTAAATTAAAGTATGATAAAAGTTACTCGGAGCATGAAAATTAATTGATAAGATCTTTTTTGTACAAAATTATTCAAGGTGATTTAACCAAAATTTGATACTCTTGTTTGCGGTCTAACATTTAATAAAATAGCAGAACACAGACATTTAAAACTCATTTTTTATGGCTTATCAACTCTTTGTAGGTAATTTAAAGCCAGAAAATATTTTTAGATTTGAAGAAATGTTTCTCTCCGGGGTGGAGACAATGTTTTTTTTTAGTGCTACAATGCTTGCTAATTAACCCATAGTGGGAGAAGAAGAAGTGGATTCATACATTTTCCAAGGATATTTGCATGTAAGAGAATATAATGAACCCAACAAGAATTGGAACTTGGATCTCTGATTAACAATTCTGAGCCATTATCCATTACACCACCTGCACATCCAATCTTACAGCACCTTGTATTCACAAGTGGTCACCCATCTAGATACTGAGCGGGCTCAATGTTGTTTAACTTCGGTGATCATATGGAGGCTGATGATTCAACCCAATATGGCTGTAAGCTAAAAAGATAAAGGAAAATTAATACACATTTTGAGTAATATACTAAACACTGAATATCCACAAGAGGATCACATTAAGTCCGAGCAGCCATTCCTTGTTTACACATAGAGGGCTGCCTGGACTTAATGAAAATAGTCTCAAGGTTTTTAAGATGGAACTCAGAATGAGATCTGCATAAAACAGAAGGTATGTTCCTAAAGACGACTTGGCACTCTCATAGTTTTTAATCAGGGGCTCTACAATTGCAGACCCAGATGAAATAACAAAATTATTTAATAAATGCTGGAACATGCTGGAAAATTCTCTCAAAAAGTTGAGTGGTCTTGCCTATAAATTGTAATTTTTATAAAAATTACAGTAAAATTTAATTAATTTGTTTTTTTTTTTATATTTAAAACTTTAATTTATATTTTTTAATTTATTTCCTATACATTTTAATGGTGATCTGATCGTCCCAGCTAAGATCCACCACATACGATGTACATTAGCTTGAATTATCCTTATAGAATGTCTACCTTGTGGAAAAAGACCTCCAAAAGGATCCGCCATCAATCACTACAACCATAACCACTTCAAGTTTAGGTTTAACTGCTGTCTTTCCTATGTATCCCCATAAACAGCACGTCTTACCACCTCCTCTTACATTCATACAACAACTACATTCAGTAACCCTCTACCTTAAGTGGCTCTTCAGCTTTGTAATGAGTGAACAATTTGTATAGAAAAATAAAAGCTGAAAAAACTGGTAGAAAATGTGATTGAAACAACAAAGATGAGGATACTAGTCTAAACAATTCCTGTAAAAAATTTCTGCTTATTTTATCAGTAAAAGGCTATCTGGGATATAAAGTCTGTGTGGTATCATATGATGAAGTCGTTTTTCATTGATGATTCCCCCAAGAGAAAGAAACCGAATTTCGATGAATGTATATAACAATGGACTCATCAGCAGGAGACAATAGTTGAATTCAGTTAAATGCTCAGTGGGAAGCTGACTTAAAAGCAAGACTCATGATGAATAATGTTTACTGTTAACAGATCGTTGTTATTGCCACAGGAACTTACTGGTTTTAATTGGTTTCATTTGATATGCAGATCTCTGAATAATTTCATCAAGAAACTGGGATATTTTGTTTGTTTTACACCTGAATTAAGTTTGTAATATCAAACTGACATTAGATGACAAGTAAATCAAGGTGTCTTTATGGCCTTTGAAGCTCAAAGAGTCAAAACTTGGCACTTAATGTGACCTTTTTTATGTCAATAGAGAAAAAAAAAAAGGCTTCCAACTTCTTATTTATTTTGTTTTTTGGAATTTGTCAAAGATGTCCAAGGTCGTGCTGACCAGGGTCTGATGTCCTGCATTTTCAAGATCAGTCTGACATTTCCTTAGCTTCAGCAAGCCCAATTCCAATTTTGTTTACAGACTGATGCAAACTGTACCAAATTCAAAAAGGTCACATCATACAATACTGATTACCTGAGATGAGGGCAATTCTTTTTCTCTAGAATCTTTTACCTCTAAATAATCACACAGCATCAAAACACACTAAATGCCAAGTTCATTTTCATTTTGACCAGAAATAAAATCCTTCCTCAAGCAAAAAACCATGAAGAGTATAAAAAAAAAAGGAAAATTTATCAAAGAAGATGTAGAAACAAAAACGGAAGTGTTTGATTGAAAGAAACATTCTTGAAATGCTTATCATTTTAAGTTGAAACTTTAGCAATCTTTAAAATTATCTGCCCACAAAAATGTTGTGTCAAAAGGGCATTTTTCCCTTGACACCACTATTATTTTAGATCATTTTTATTAAAATTGTAATAGAACTTAAACATATGATAAAAGTGAATTTATACATTTTCTTTGTTCTTGAAAATTTACAACAAAAATATTAAACACTATTAGATTGTTTATAAGAATAATTTTATATTTACAGTGTGACCTGGATATAAGAGAAACCCAGATATAAGAGAGATTTTCTCTGGTCCCAAATTAGAGCCTGTGTTAATGTATATAAAATAGACCAAACCCGGATATAAGAGAATTAGCTGATGTATTGCCAATTGTTCCAATAAATAAACAGTGTAGATAAGCAATTAAATAGTTTATTACTTTTGTTGGCAATTCTCAAAAACAAAATTCACTTCCATCATATGTTTAGGTTTTATTACAATTCTAATCATCACTTTTTAAAACGATAAACATTACCAAGAGTAAAGTTGAAAGTAAAGTAAAGAGTAAAGGTAAAATATTTGCATAGGACCAGAGAAAAACATGAGCAAATTCTTGATTGCCATTATTATTGAAATCAAATGTGGAAAAAGAATTAATTAAAAACAGTTAATTAATTCCTTTAAATTAGATTGGCTGAGGATTTCTTAAGGAATCAAACCTGAACATTAACTTGGAAATAACTTAATGCATCCCCCCCTCCACCCATTTTAGATTTACTAAATTGAGAGGAAATAATCAGAAGTAAAAAAAAATTACTCCCTCTGTCAAAATGAGTAATCATCCTTAAGGGCATTGAGACCAAGTTGTTTTTATAAAGAACTATTCATTAGATTAAAATAGATTTTTTATGCAGAATAATTCAAGAAAAAAGGTTTTCCAAAAGAAAAACACACAGCCTAAACCAATTGGTTGCATGGTTTGTGTATTTAAAGACATACCATATATTTCCATGTATAAGGCGACCTATAGATCCAAAATCTATAGGTAAATTTTCATGATTTTATCTGATATCTGTAATATAAGACAATCAATTTGACCCATATGACAAAACTGTAAATGATGATGTTTATGATAAGTTCTTTGCAGTAGATGATGATGATCATAGTCATTTTGATTGGTTTTAATTAATTATATGGGTGTCTTATGGTTTTTATTCTATAATCAGAAAAAGATTCCATGGCATCTCAAATGTTTTGTTCCTTAACACAGCAAAAAAAAAAAAAAAGAAGCCTATTATGTATGTTATTGAAAAGTCTTCCTGTTATACTAAATGTTGTTGTTATTTAACACCACAATGATAATGAATTTTAATTAGAAATATAGATTGCATGTTATCCTAAATGTTATTTTCTATGAGAAATAATGATTGGTGTGAACGCAGACATAGCTCGACAAATCAAGAATGAAAGATTTGTTTATTTGTTACTTTTGCGTGTTGCTCAGCAGAACTTTTGCAAATTGTTGTGTAATCATCTCTTGAATATTGCATTTTAATGTGAAATCAAGAAGCGAAAATAGTTTTATTACATTTATAATTTTAGTACAACATTATAATGTGAATTGTTTCAACTAGAAATATTTACATTGGTAAACCGAGGCAGTTGTTAACCTACTGCAATCCATGGTGCAAGCATACTAGCCTACTTATGAGTACCGAGACACCATAGGATTTAATTTAGCATATTGTAAATGTTCTATTAGATGACCCCCTATTTTGGGGGGTAATTTTTAAGATTTAAAGGTTGCCTTATATGTGGAAATATATGGTATTTTCCAGTTAGTTATCAAAAAGTATGACAAGTTGCTAAGAGTGATAGGATTGTGAAGGTAATGGTCAAATCATACCAAAATATATCAGTGGTGACAAGGGAGCTGGTTTGAGATTTCCATATAAATAAAGTGAGATATGTAAGTATTGATGGGGGTTTCTTTCCTAACTTTTTGTTCAAAGTCATAGACATCTTGATTATGTTATTATTTTCTCTTTGAGTTACATGTGCTATCCATTTTAGTTGTTGCTGCACTTGAAAGTCCTCAAGTGATGTGGTTTCTGTTATTTGGTAAAGATATTTGTTTGGGATTCTGTAGCATCAATTCACAAGGTTCAAAGAAGAATGGTCTCTGCTACTGCAAAATTATCCAGCCTTTATGACATAAAATATACTAATAACTTGGACAGGTACATTTCCAAGTCATATAAAGGTCTGTGATTTTTTTTCTTGATGAGTGGGGTTGGAGCGGGGGGACAACATATAAGAAACAATAAAAAAAATGAAAAACTTCTCCTGAAGAAGTGTTTTCATATTAAATCTGCAACTTCTTTGTGAAACTTTTTATTACATCCTTTCTCACAAACAAAAGAATTATTACAGATTACATAGGACTACTTACTAAACTATCATATGATAACAAAGAGGACAAAAGAAATGGAATAGCTTATTAGAAATAAGTCTTATTGTAATTTATATTCAGGCTATTGTATTCATCTTTGTTGCAGTCATAATAATGTTTTGGCTATTGTGCCCTCTGGCTTTCCTTAGGTGTGTATCAATCCATGTAATCTACATGGACTTCCAAGCTTAACCCTTTATTTAATCAACAGGGGTAAACTGTTCTTTCCACTGATCATGTCTAATAATAACTTATTATTCTTATTTAGTACTGCTCAGTTATTGCTCACATGTTTTCACTGAGTGAAAGTACACACTGCCTGACCAAATTCATAACTCAACACTTAAATTTCCTAGATCACTAAATATTGCTTTTGTCCAGACTGTAAATCATATCATCATCATTAAAGAATGCAACAAGCTAGATTACAAGTAATACAAGTAACAAGCTTGACAGAGTAGGAACAATATTTCATCGGGAATTGTGCAAACAACTTAAATCCAAACGTGGAAACAAATGCTGTCATCATAAAACTGAAGACTGTCCTAAAAAAATAAAAACATACTTTTTCAAATCTAGATTAACAACCTGCCTTCAGCCTGCAAGGAGGTTAGAGTTAATCCTCAATAAAGAAGATAAGAACTGTTAGATTATCGATGTTACTACCATTACATATGACAAAAAAAAAAGAAGAAAAACTGGGAAAGTAGCAAGACATGACAAGTATATATGAAGCTGCTGGTCCTGCTCATAATTGTTGGTGCATTTGGAACAATGTCTAAAGCACTAAAATGGAGATTGAATCAATTAAACATTCAAGGAATAATTGACAATGGCAGTTTGTTTTTGATTCTGTGAGAATACTGAG